ATTGTCTCTTTCTTTGCACTACTTACTGTAGTATCTATAAATTATATATAGTACACTACATAAAACACATTAATATTATATCGACAATTTTTTAATAACAAGACAGAAAAAATATATTATATATTGGGGAACGTAAAAATTTAAATAAAGGTGCATTTTGTTCCACGCATGATGTGCATAATGCATCATTTATCCTTTTTTTCGTGTGAAACGGAATGCACCCTTAAATACAAATCTAAAAATAATTTTGTTTAGATTATCAAAATAATTCTGTAGATTTCTGTTCAAAATAGAGTAGCTAGAATGTTAAAATTTCTTGCAACAGTGTCATTAATGCTTAAGCGGTCTATATAATTATTTTGATGGTCTAACAAAATTATTTTTAAATCTGTGTCTAGCTAAATTTTTGGATACTTTAACAAAACCGTTCTATCTGTGTATGTAACTACATATTTATCTGAAATCATTATTAGATAGAGACTTTATATCGTTTTCAACATCAGTTTCGTAATTTCATTCTGTTGAAATAAAAAAATTGTATTGTAGACAAAAGCGTACAAAAGTCAAAAATTACTATATATTATCGTACCACGTAATACAATATGTGATTGTTCTAAAGTACTGAATTATATTGCGAGTTATTTCCAGCGTCCTACTTCGACATTATAACATTCATCGATTTTCCCCATCAATTTACGTTCCAATGCAATTGATGTAACTCAAAAACGCTCTACAAAAGACAAACTTTCAAAATCCATCGTTTTATATACAATCTAAAAACATCAAAGGTCATTTCAGTTTACCACAATAAATTATAAATGCAATATTCGTACAGATAAATATCGAGAAGTGCAACAGTGAAATAGAATAGTTTTGCATAAAGTTGTTAAAAGTAATTTGCAGAGTTGCAAATATATGAAGCAAATAAAAAATAAACAATAAAATAGCTAGAAACGATCTTGATGGAAAAACATTGAGTCTCCTCGAAACTGGAGAGGTAAATTAATGGATATTGGATATTAATCAGCTATCGTTAATTAAATTCTCACAAAACAATAACACTAATTTCTGCAGTTTATTTTTGATCGTATCTGATCTTAAAGTGGTATATGTATATGTATAAATATATTATATAAAATATTATATCCATACGTCTCCCAAAAAGTTTCT